TCCCAAAATTGTCATACAGCAATTAATATTTACTGCTGAACTAAGGCACGAGATACTAAACTAGAAACTGAAATAGACACAAGCTCTCCGTTCATAGCACTAAACGCCTGGGGGAGGGAAGTCTTGCTCTTCTGAAATTTACTTTCACAGATGCTTCAAATCTGACATGCCAGTTCACTCTAAGATTGTTTAGCTGCAAATTCTCTAAATTTGACAAGTTTCTTTTAGTGTCACGTAACATACTAACTTCTACGCAGATTTTGATGTCAAGGTTGCATGTTGCTTTTATGTGTATTTAATCAAAGAAATTGTTTTGCACACTTATTTGTAATATGTTATTTCTTTTAAATAAAAGTGACTAATTTTGCTGTATTCACTGATGATCACAGCCAAAGTTCCTATTGCCATAAGTTTTGGGGAATAAATATGTAACTGAGGAAACGGTGGTGGTTGTTGAACGACAGAAGCTGAATCATGCTGCCCATGCCACGTAAACACAGGCCAGGAAGTACAGGAATTACTGCCTGGGACGTGTACGTTGGTATTTACACCAAAACAAGTCCAATTCCCAGTGCAAACCAGTTCTTGTTCAGCACACCGTTCACCACAGCTGCTGTTGTGACACTTCTTACCTTTGCGCAGCTGTACGAGTAGAATGACCAACTGGAAACGGCCGTCTCCCTGGAGAAGTATGTGTGCAGGAAAGCATTAGAAACCATTCTTCAAGGATGATTTAAATCCTCTCTCTCTCTTGTGCAGTTGTAAGCTGTTTATGATCCAGTCAGCTGCGCTCACCTTAAATAGCAAGGAACGACTTTAACTAAAACATTAAGCCTTCTGCAGGGCCCCTTGAAGGTTTTACATAACTTAATGGGCTGAAGCACCATCCCCCTGTCCTCCCATTAAAGTTATCCTATAGTTGACCAGAGAGACTATCAGCATACTTCTTGGTTGTTTAAAACTCTATTGAACTTGTAGAACTTCCCCTGAACATCTGTTCTAGTGTGACAGTAAGAATGAAAATAACACTAACTGCACACGCAGACAATAGTGCTGTACTAATGATGGAACCCCTTAATGCATACCTAAATAGATTTAATCTCAAATTCCTTCTTCTTGTACTATTTGCCAATCCTTATCTTTATATACTACACTTTATATAGGCTATAGTATATAGGGATTGAAAATTAGGTAAAAGAATGAGTCTTCCCACCTGGTGTTGGCTCCAGGCTCTGCCAGTACTTCATCTCATCACTTCCCGCTATACTGCATCACGTAGGTAATTTTAACCAAAATTTGCTTTTAAGTGGGACAATGGATAAACATACCTCTACAATCAAATGAGGTTAGTCACTTTTTTGGAAAATAAATAATACTTTAAGTATTTGATAGACCACGTGTCCACCATGTTGATTTATTTATGATACTGCATGGCTGCGGTGTCCAGGTACACTGTGAAGCTCAGCACTGATTGGCAACACTCGCTGCGTTGTGGTACACAGCAGTAATGCTCACCCCTGTTCCGCCCTGCACAGAGACCCAGTCCTCTGGGGCAGGATGTTGAGGAATCGCTTTCCCCAGAGGGGCACGCACTTAACAGAAGGCAAGTTTTAAAAGACCAGAATAAGCAGCCAGTCACCTTTCGAACATACCCCTGCTCTACATGAGGCTGCAGGGTAAAAGGGGGGCAAGGCAAGCTGTCAGAAGTCTACTTTATGTGACAAAAGAGGATTAAATAGATTTTAAAATGTCAAGTTGTTAAGAAGAGTATTATAGTCCAGAGGTCCAGTAACATTTACTCCTTTAAGTACCGTTGTCTTAACTCTTAGCTAGCAACACGTTGCTTTGGGAGACAGCCCTGCTCAACAGAGAGCCCCGCTGACGGGAAGGGAAACCGGCCAGTGGCGCGGACTGTGTTCATCTGTGAGGAAACAGCAGACTTTGCACAGTAAGTCTAAAATATGACTCTTCCTGAAAAACAATGTATTTCCACCAGCATCAGCTATTTAAGTATATGGATTATTAATTTCTTTTGTATTTAAAAAATAACTAACTACCTTCTCTCCCCCTATTCTGCTGTCTCCTTCCATAGCACTTGTGTCACAGCTCAAAATCCTGAAAGGAAAACTAAAAGATTAGCCAGTGTGATAAATTCAGTGGTAATTCCAGGTATTTGCCAGCAGGAGCCACAGAATATGAGTATTTCTATAAGAACCTTTAAGTATTCACATTAAAGTAGAAAACATAAGATTAATCGGTGAAGTTAGAAAATGTGTGACACAAGACTAGTTGTCATGTGTGTACTGAAGTTAGAAAATGTGTGACACAAGACTACTTGTCACGTGTGTAGGTCAAAAGGACAGTGGCAGACACTGCTGACCGACATACAAAGGCTACAGAATAACGTGCACTTCAGACGGACAGTCGTATTTTTGGAGCCACATGCTAGTGAATCTACCTCCTTCTTATTAAGCCATTTCAATGCCCCCATTTTACAGCATTTTTTTTTTCTTCTTCCCCAAAGGTTGTATTTGTTTGAACAGCCAATGACACTGTTTGTTCTGGTCTGTAAGAGATCCTGCGGCATTTCACACAATAGTCCATTCTTTTTGTTAAAGGAATAGGTTATGATCTTTCAGCTTCAAATATTCCAGCCCTTTACAGTAGTTTCGCAGCCCTCCTTTGATTTCTCCCTTCTTGAAAGTATTGACATGAAAACCAGACCCAGCATTCTAGTAAGTTTTTCTAGTACTTTAGACAAAAGCGTTTCCCCAACTCTGATGAGAAACAAAAAGAACATAATGCATAAAAAGAGGATCAGAAACCAAACCAACATTAATGAAAATTACTCCAGAAAGTGCACAACTCATTAAACTTGTTAAAAAAAAAAACAAAACTCTCTGTTAGCATGGCAGCCTGTGCTAAATCAATACATCTGTGGCCAACATTTTTTTAAACTCAAATCACAGAACTAATGCAAATCCCTGGGTACATACCTGAAATCAGCCCCAAATGTTAACACAACTCCTAGAAGAATCAGACTCTTTGATACAAAAATTAGTTCTTAATTCAAAGTCTGGCTTGATTAATAGTTAGGAAAGAAAACAAGTAGAAGCGGAAGCAGGAGTAAAGCTTGTTTTCATCTGCCAGTCCACAAATAAGATCAGGAAGAACTTGACGGTTAAAAGCAACCCATGCACTTAGTAACTTCAGACATCATCAATTAATTTGGTGTCAGACACAATGTAGGATTCTTAGTAAGAATGTTAAACTATATAGTTAAGACACCTGTATAGAAAGGGGTCAACCAGGTTAGTAGAAAGCAGCACTCAATTTAGTGTAAATGAGATATATATATAAAAAAAAAATATATACTTTTAGATAAATATCACACACACACATATATATAGATAAAATCACAACTAGATAAAATCACATGCTATATAAAATCACAACTCAATCTGTATTAATGACTACCAACCGCTCAAAATTTACCTTTTGGGAGAAATTAAATCAAGATACAAAACATGGATCGAACA